CCCTGGGTGCTGTCCCCCACTCTCAGCTCGAGGGAGAAGGGTGCCCCGAGGTGAAAAAGGGGCAGGCCCGTGGAAGGAGGGGGAGGGCGGGGGCGAAAAAAAAAAGGGACACAGGGGCACACGGGTCTCTTTCGGCGGATGGTCGGAAGCATGCTTCTGGCCGGGGGCGAAGGGACGGAATGCGACCGTCTCCGGAGCCCCGGCCGCCGGGGCGCGCCAACGAGAAGGGCTGAACAGGGGTAATTAGAAATCCATCGTCCCGATCAGCCCCTTTCCTTCAAGCACCCGTAGGACAGACACACACACACTCACACATAAAGAAGACCGACGCGGGTGTGCCCCCGGCGGGGTACGAATAAAAATATGGCATTTTACCGGTCCCGGCTTCGTCGCGTCCGAGCCAGCTGCAGGGCCCCGCCTGGTTGGGCTTCGTTCTCCTCAGGGGCGTTGTCAGTGCGCCAGTGTGCCGAGGGTGGGGGGGGAGGGCGGAGCTGTGCCCCTGCCTTTGGCTCCGACCCGACCCACTTTTTCGGGGCTCCCCCCCTCGTCGGTGGAAGGTGGCTCATCCCCTGCGTGGCTGGGGGGGGGGGGGGGGGGCGGGCCGGGGGTCCGGGCAAAAGTGCTCCCCTCCCGCCCCCCCCCCCCGTTCCCCCTGCCCCCGTCTCCGGGCTGGCCACAACAAACAACAGTGCCGGACACCGCGGAGTCCCTGCAAATGTCTGTGTACTTTGGCTCGGGTCCAGAAGAGAGGCGGACTGGGGCGAGGAAACCTCCCCCACTCTCGGCACATTTCCGGGAACATTTTTCCGGTTCCCGAGCCCGGGCCCGGGGGCTTGCAGGGTTATGGCACCGCCACCAGCCAGAGAGGCACTTTCCCTTCCTCCCCCCTCCCTCTTTCCCCCTCCCTCCTCCGCCTTTTCGTTTCCCCTCCCCCCCTCCCCCCCTCCCCATTGGCGACCCGGTCTCCTCTCGTTGCGCACGTCCACCTCCTTCGCCAGTCATGGACCCCACCCTCAAGTCCGGCGAGCAGCTGCTCGTCCTTGGCCGCTATGCGCGTTCCCTGCTGGCGGCCTTCCACCGGGCCCGCATCCAGCTGAACCCCGAGTCGCCCCAGCGCCCGGCGGTCCTCAGTGACCCCGCTCTGCAGCCGCTCTTCCGGGCCATGCTCCGGCGCTTCCCCTCCGATGGTGGCCTCACCTCGACCCAGGGCGCTGACCGCTTCCAGAAGGTGTGCAAGGACATCCTCGACGCCACGGGCCCCACCTACAACGCCTTCACCCGGCTCGTGGTCTTCCGTGACACCATGTCCAACCTGCTGGGCGAGTTTTCCAAGCTCTCCTACTCGGTACGCATGCGCCATCCAGCGCCCCGGTTCTATTTTGCCGCGTTTGCCTGTGCCTTCTCACTCCCTCGCCCTCTCGCTCTCTCGCTCTCTCGCTCTCTCGCTCTCTATCTTCTGCTACTTATTGACACCTGCACTTGTCGATGGCCTTTGTTTCCCTTTGCCTCCTCTTCTCGCTGCCGTCGCACCTCCTGCTCCGCGCATTCTATGCACACACACACACACACACACACACACACACAGGCCCTCAATGGTCCGGATGTGGTCACCGCCCTCGTCAGCCTCATGGCCGACTATGTTCGGCTGCACCTCCTGCTGGCGCAGATCCCGGACCGTCGGCTGATTACCTTGATCTATGCCCGGGCCTTCCAGATCACCCACCGGTCTGCCGAGCCGCAGTTCAACCGCGTGGCCGAGATGGTCGGCTGTGACACGCCCGTTGCCCGTGTCCAGGCCGATGCGCAGGTCCTGAGTGGCACCCTGGCCCTGGCCATCAAGCAGTACTCCGAGGGCATCTTCGACTGGCTGTCCCCGTCGGCCTTCCTTCGTTCGGAGGGTGTCTTCAACATGATCCACCACCCGGCGCACATCAAGCGCCCGTCTGCCGAGGACGCGGTACGGCCTCCTCCTCCGTGCACCTTCTGATGGCTTTCCTTCCGCCGGCATTGCCCGCAACTGCACTTGCACGCCCGCGCGCATACTCACGTCTTTCCCTTCCCTTCCCTTCCCTTCCCTTCCATTGGGTGCCCCCTTGGCTTGTGCAGCGCCTGCGGACCCTCCGCAACTACCGCTTTGTGGCGGACAACGTTGCCTTTGCCATGCTGCTCACTCCGTCGGAGCTGGTCGCCGATCCGGCCCTCGGCGAGCTGCTCCGTTCGATCCTCGAGCACAACATCACCTTCGAGCTCTTCCGCTGCGAGGTGTGTTCCCTCTTCCGCGCCCCCCCGCCCCCTCGCGCCGTATCACATCCTGACATTCCCGATTTGCCCGTTCTCCCTTTCTCCCCCTTCCGCCCAGAACATCCAACTTGCCTCCGAATATGAGCCCATCGTCCGGAAGATGTCTTCCAGCAACCCGGCCAAGTCCGGCCTGAGCGACGCCATCAGCTCGGCAACCCAGCTGTCCAGCAGCTTCGTCAACACGGCCACCAGCTTCCGCCGGGACCGGCGCGAGTTCCTGCGCACGGCCCTCATCCAGACTTCCGGTCTGCTGGCCGACAAGCCGGGTCTCCTTGGGCCGAAGTTCTCCCAGGTGGTGTCGCTGCTGGGCCTGGCCCGGAATGAGATCCTCTGGTACATGCGCCACTTGGACTTCCTGGCGCACAACATCAAGAAGGGCAGCAAGACCGAGGACATGACCGACACCAACATCACCGAGATCATGAGTTACACCGAAGGCCTCCGGCGCTTTATCCTGGACCACACGGACATCGTGTGCTCCTACTACCGGGAGTATCTGGCCGGGTACTTTGCGCACCGGCTCAAGGAGGTGGTTGCCGGGCTGACGGTTCCCCTGCCGTCGGTGGTGACCACGCAGCTGGGCAACTTCAAGACCACGCTGGCCAGCCTGGCCGGGCTTCAGGGGGATGCCCTGGAGGCGGCCATTGCCTCCATGCAGATGGATTGGCTGCGCATCCAGGTGTTCCTCTCGACCCCGGGGCAGTCGGCCATCGTCTCCTCGCTGGAGGAGCTGGTTCGTCTGCTGGCCGACGTCAATGCCCGCATGCGGTATGCCTCGCCGGCTGGGCTGGACAACTACCTGGGCTCGGTGTGCGGCCTGCACGAGCTCCTGCACCAGCAGCGTTCCCTCTGGGCCTCGCTGGAGATTTGCACCCGTTCGGTGGCCCAGTCCCGCCATGTGCGCGTGTATGTGGACATCATTCGGACCTTCCCGCGGACCGTGGTCCCGGGCCCGGGGTCCCTGGCTGACACGGCCTGGATTGGTGCTCGCACGGCCGAGCTCCTGGAGCGCGCCTACCACGATGTGTCCTCCCGTATCCAGAATGCCCTGGAGAGTGTGCTGAACGGCCATGTCCGCATGGCGATGCTGGTGCGCTTTCCTTCTTTCTTTCTGTCTCTCCCTCCACGCGCCCCCCCCCCCCCCCCCCCCCCCCCTCTCCCACTCTGCATATATTCTGCCTATTTTCCTCCCTCTCTCGCCTGACACACACACGCACACACGCACACACGCACATGTACCCCGCGTCCCATGTCCGCCTCTTCCCCCCTTTCTCCCCCCACACGTAGACCATGCCCGATCGTGCGGCGCGTGTGCTCATTGCCAACACCGAGAAGAACCGCGACAGCAGCAAGGCCCCGGAGGAGCCCCTCCCGGGTGCCGAGTCTAACTTCCGCCTGGAGGGCGACCTGAAGCCGTGCGCATATATATATACATCTATTTTATACGCATGACCAGATGTCTGCATACGCCGCCCCTTTGGGGCTTTCTCTCCATCCCCATGAACATGGACTCACATTTTCTTGTCGCCGACCCCCCCCCCCCCTCCCCCTCCTCCCGCTCCGGCTCCCCCTCTCCCCTGTGTGCCGCTCGAATCGCGTGCAGCCTCCACTCCCGGCAGTATGTGCTGCACCATCTGTGCTCGGCGTACCGGGACTTCGATGACATCACCGTCCATGATGTGACCATCTCCCCGCGGCAGTTCCTGGTGGACCTCTTCGGCCAGACCTTCCGCAACAATGTGCACAACCTGGTGGCCATCCCCCAGGTGACCGATGAGTCGCTCATCCCCCTGATCAACCGGCCCTCGCTGTTGATGACCCTTCTTGGGGCCATCATCGACGTGTTCCAGAGCCTGGAGCTGTATTCCGGTGTGCCGGTGGGCAAGCTGCTGGAGGCCGAGCTCCTGGCTCAAACCGATCCCGAGGTGTCTCGGCGCCTGGCGGATGCCATCCCCGGCGGGGATTTCCGCAACCCCTTCGTCAGTGGCAAGTCCGCCTCGCAGAAGTTCCCCTCCGTCCTGGTGGGCAACGACACGTCTGCCAAGCATCCGCTCCTGTTTACCTATTCCACTTGGTATGTGGATGTGGTGCTTAATCGCCTGCTCCCCTCCGGTGCCATTTACTCCCCCTCGCGGCGGATGTTCCTCTCGAAGCCCGGGGCCGGCATTCGCCTGGAGCGCTACTTCGACTTCAACGGTGCGTGTGAGGCCCCCCCCCCCCCTCCCAATGGCTCCCGGGCCCTCTCATATCCCTTGCTCTTTTTTATTTTTCCGGATACTCCTTTCCCCCTTCTTCTTGCCTCTCGGTGCTTGTTCATGCATATGGCTCCCCCTTCGCTTGGGTGGCTGACTCGATTTGCCCCCCCCCCCCCCCCCGGATGTGCCCACCCGCCGCCTCTCTCCGCCGATCGCAGAGCTCGTCTCCCTGTGCACCATCATCGGCGCTGGCGGTGTCAGCCACATTGACCAGCGTCTCCTGCGGGTGGTGACCCAGCTGAGCCTCAGCATCAAGGAGTACATCTCGCGCAACCGCGACCCGCTGGAGCAGATCGCCAACTGGACCAACGTCGTGTCCCTGGCCGAGGCCACCCGGTCCTTCAAGAACCTGGACGATATCGCTGCCCGGGTGATGCAGATCGGCACCATCCTGGCCTTCCGCCAGCTGCTGCTGCGTGCTCTGCGCACTTCGCTGGCGCGTGATGCGCCGCATCTCTTCTCCTGTGTTCGCGAGGCCCACAGCCAGTACCCGGCCAACCTCTTCGGCATTCAGGGCTACCTGGCCATTGATATTCTGGCCAACGCCATGGGCATCGTTGACAATGTGGACATCCCCCTGCGCAATGCGCTGGACGGTCTGACTCGTGCGTGGATCCCTGTTTGCTTTCTCCCCCTCTCCCCCTCTCCCATCCCCGCTCCCGTTGTCTTGCTTAGTCCCATTGCCCACACTCTCGCCTTCCCCGCCCCCCCCCCCCCCCTCGCTCCCCTCTTCCCGTCAGAAACAACGCA